GTGTGTGTGTGTGTGTGTGTGTGTAAGGTGTGTGTGTGTGTGTGTGTGTGTGTGTGTGTGTGTGTTGTGTGTGTGTGTGTGTGTAAGTGTGGTGTTGTGTATGTGTGGTGTGTGTGTGTGTGTATGTGTGTGTGTGTGTGTGTGTGTGTGTTGTGTGTGTGTGTGTGTGTGTGTTGTGTGTGTGTGTGTGTGTGTGTGTGTGTGTGTGTGTGTGTTGTGTGTGTGTGTGTGTAAGTGTGTGTGTGTGTGTGTTGTAAGTGTGTGTGTGTGTGTAAGGTGTGTGTGTGTGTGGTGTGTGTTGTGTGTGTGTGTGTGTGTGTGTGTGTGTGTGTTGTGTGTGTGGTGTGTGTGTAAGTGGTGTGTGTGTGTGTGTGTATGTGTGTGTGGTGTGTATGGTGTGTGTGTGTGTGATGTGTGTTGTGGTGTGTGTGCCATGTGCTGTGTGTAAGTGTGTGTGTGTGTGTGTAAAGTGTATGTGTGTAAGTGTATGTGTTGTGTGTGTGTGTGTGTGTGTGTGTGTGTGTGTGTTGTTGTTGTTGTGGTCGTGTGTTGTGTGTGTGTGTGTTCTGTGTTTTGTCTGTGATGTTGTGTGTGTGCGTGTGTGGTGTGTGTTGTGTGTGTGTGTGTGTGTGTGTGTGTGTGTGTGTTGTGTGTGTCGTTGTGTGTGGTGTGTGTGTGTGTTGTGTGGTGTGTGTGTGTGTGGTGTCGCCGTGTGGTGTGTGTGTGTCTGCGTGTGTGTGTGTCTCTGCGTGTGGTGTGTTGTCTGCGTGTGTGTGTGTGTCTGCGTGTGGTGTGTGTCTGCGTGTTGTGTGTGTCTGCTGTAAGTGTGTGTCTTGCTTGGTAAGTGTGTGTCTGCGTGTAAGTGTGTGTCTGCGTGTAAGTGTGCTGTGCGTGTATAATGTGTGTCTCGTGTAATGTGTGGTCTGCGTGTAAGTGTCTGCGTGTAAGTGTGTGTCTGCGTGTAAGTTGTTGTGTGTTCTGCGTGTAAGTAAGGTGTGCTGCGTGTAGTGTTGTCTGCTGTAAGTGTGTGTCTGCCGTGTAAGTGCTGTGTCTGCGTGTAAGTGTGTGTCTGCGTAAGTGGTGTGTCTGCGTGTGTGTGTGTGTCTGTAAGTGTGTGTCTGCGTTAAAGTGTTGTGTCTGGCGTGTAAGTGTGTGTCTGCGTGTAAGTGTGTCTGCTCGTAAGTGTGTGTCTGCGTGTAAGTGTGTGTCTGCGTGTAAGTGTGCCTGTCTGCGTTAAGTGTGTGCTGCGTGTAAGTCTGCGTTGGTTGTCTGCGTTAAGTGTGTGTCTGCGTGTAAGTGTTGTGTCTGCGTGTAAGCGATTGTGTCTGCGTGTGTGTAAGTGTGTGTCTGCGTACTGTAAATGTGTGTCTGCGTGTAACAGTGTGTCTGCGTGTTTTGTGTGTGGTGTAAGTGTGTGTGTGTTGTGTCTGCGTATGTGTTAAGTGTGTGTTGTGTGTGTTGGTGATGTAGTGCGTGTAAGTGTGTGTCTGCGTGTGTAAGTGTGTGTCTGCGTGTAAGTGTGTGTGCGTGAAGTGTGTGTTAAGTGTGTGTCTGCGTGTAAAGTGTGTGTGTGTGTGCATGAGTTGTGTGTGTGTGGCATGAGTATGTGTGTGCATGAGTATGTGTGTGCATGAGTATGTGTGTGTGCATGAGTATGTGTGTTGCATGAGTAGTGTGTGTATGAGTAGGTTGTGTATGAGTAGTGTGTGTATGAGTATGGGTGTATAGTATGTGTTTTGTATGATATGTGTGTGTAATGAGTATGCGTGTGTATGAGTATGCGTGTGTATGAGATGTGTATTGAGTGTATGCAGTATGTGTGGTATGAGTGTGTGTGTATGATGTGTGTGTATGGGGTGTGTATGTATGAGGTGTTATGTAGTTATGTGTGTATGAGTATGTGTGTGTATGAGTATGTGTGTGTATGAGTGTGTGTGTGTATGAGTATGTGTGTGTATGAGTATGTGTGTGTATGAGTATGTGTGTGTATGAGTATGTGTGTGTATGAGTAGTGTGTGTGTATGTGTGAGTATGGTGTGTGTGTGTATGAGTATGTGTGTGTTATGAGTATGTGTGTATGAGTATGTGTGTATGAGTATTGGTGTATGTGTGTGTATGAGTATGTGTGTGTATGTGTGTGTTTGTACATGCGCATGTTGGTAAGAATGTACGTATGTGGCCGAGAGCTCTCTCTTGCTTTTATTTTCTACTTGTCATGCATGTAGGAAGATGTCAACAACAGTGTATATGAGTTTTTTTGTAAGGACACAAGTGCATTACCACAGGTATTTTATTTGTATTTGTATTTTTTCCTTTTTTTTACTGTATTGTAGAAAGTGTATCAATGTGCTGCCAAGTATCTTCGACTTAAAATAAAGTAGCAAAAAGTACATAAACATATACAATCTTCAAAGAACCACAAATGCCCTTATCAATCTAGTTCACACATGACCATATTTCAGTTGCTGTCAGCCAGGAAGAATGTCTGTGTGTGTGTGTGCATGTGCACAGCCACATCAATGAATGAGTGGGTGTGCGTGGGTGTGTATGATATGTCCGTGACTGCATGTGCACGAGAGTGTTCGTCTTCAATCAATAATTTCATTCCTGTACTTATCACAGCAAATCACTTTTTAATATGCCGAGTGCAAGCAACACCTGTGGCAAAGAATTCACCACTTTTTTTCTTATTACGGTCCATGGGAAGATTGTATATGTTCTAGAGAAGTAAAACAGTAACAAGAAAATAAGGCTTCAAAAAAAAATATTAAATCAGAAAGAGGGAGGGGGAGGGAAAAAAAAAAATAATAATAAAATAACTGACATGAACTTACCCTTAATACCCTTAGATGATATACATGGCTCTAAGTACAGTACAAACCAACTGGGTTCTTAAGCAGTAAACAGTGAAAACCGTCTTACCTTTTCCTCTATACTCGACTGATGACTAACTTTACACGATAATCAAAACAATATCTTCATCACAACATATCATGCCTCCTCCTTATCACAAGATTGTATACCATTATATAGGAGGGATCATGCAACTGACTGCCACAATCAAATGCAGGAACATAAAAATTAAAAAACAAAAATGATAATATAAAAAGAAAAAAATAAATAATTGCATTACTAATAATTAATAAAAATAATAATCATCATCATCATCATCATCATCATGATAATAATATTGATAAAAAAGTGAACAAACTTACCTTCATCTTTTCCATTCTACTTGTCTACAAGGCCCATTAAAGAAAAAAAAAAAAAAAAAAAAAAAAAAACTAAAGAAAAGACAAATAGATAGAAACCTGATCCCGGCTCTATCTACGACCGAAGCAGAATACACTATACCTTTAAATCCTTCATAATGCGGCAGTTTTTGATGGGCCCGACAACAACAAATATCTTGTAAAACTCTTGGTCGGTGAGAGTCTGTGGCAGGTAGTTGATGATAAGGTTTGTTCGCGTTTCCCCATCGGGAAGCGCTGAGCTGGGGCTGCTAGATGACTCAAAACTCATTGTGTACTTCCTCTTCCCAAGCCTAACCTGCACGGACAAAAAGAGGAATGGGGAGGACAAGGAGGATGTGGAGGAGGAGGAGAGGAGGAGAGGGGAGAAACAAAAAGAATGGGGATGAGTCTTGGGTGTTCAAGTAAGACAAATTTCTGAGGATAAAAAAAAGGAAAAAAAAAAAAGTAATGAACAATAATACTGAACTGAAAAAAAAAAAAATGGATACTTTGTGCAAATGATCACTGCTTTGAAATAATAAAAAAAATAAAAATAAAAATAAAAAAAGGATGGTTTTGCTGGTAAATAAATCAGATAAAGGATATGACATGAGGGGGGAAGAGCCTTCACTTCAGTGGAAAGATAAGTCCTGTTAATATTTCGCATGCACACACGTGCACGCCCACACACACAAAATCAAAAATAAAATACCAACTACCTTGCCTATTAATTGCCCTATAAAGACAAGACGTCCTCCAAATTGCTCTTCATTTGACCACTAAGGGCTCAAATCCAAAGGTCAAAAGCCTGGAAAATCAGAACATCTGATTCAAGATAGTTATTAATGCATAAAAGCCTACTGTCATGGATAGCTTTGGAATTTGCTTCCCTCTGAAAATTGCGAATAAAGAAGCTATCTCGTATATGAACAATTTAGCCTGCAGTACCGATGACCTCCACACCTCAAACAGCCCAATAAACACACCGTAAACATCCTGGCGAGACAGACCTTGGCTTTGTTCCTCTTTTGACCGTAAATCGCCCCACACTATCTTCAAATAACCTACGGGCAAAACCTTACTGGCATTATCTGGCGCTCTAATCACCAATGGGATAAACATTTGGGGTATTCTATCCTCCCCAGCTCAAGCAAGTTAAAGCGAATGTTTTGGCTGGTTGGTCGAGATGAAGCAATACATGATAGGTTGTTCATTCATCATGTCCGAATGTCTGCTTTACTCACAGTCTGTGCAGAGTCCCCGAGTGAGAAACAAGCGTAAAATGAAGTGTTTAGAGCCGTAAGGGAATAAAGGGGAGATTTTCTAACCAAAAGATAGCCTTTGATATTAGGATCTCTCATGATGCGCAGTGTTCCATCGGAATCTGCTCAACCTAAGAGATCTCTAAGAGGAATCGACTATAACCACCGAGTGGCATCATCCCAAACGTTCAACTCATCCTCCGTACCTTCCGGGATCCAGAAAGACTAACAAACCTATTAAGACATTCAACACGAGACAAGAGTTCAAACTGGCTCCATTTTCGATGATGTATTGCCTGGGAGGTCTACGAGCCTAATCATCGTTTAATCTATGCGGCGAAACTTTGTTGATCTTTGCTAAAATACTGACATGTGCAGGCTGGTGGCAAATTTATAAACGTGTCACACAGATTTACCTTAATTTGTACCGTGCGTACCACTTTCCTACATAATTAAATACGTGACAATGACCTTCACTCTGATACGAAACTTCAAATTAGGAAAATTTACAAATCCCAATTTCCAACCGCGCGACAATTAACCGAAGACCAGATCTACTGCGTACGTATTCTCCTCACGCGACAGATCTTCACTAGCTGAATGGGACGTAAACACGAACTACGGTACCTAAAATCGAGCCCAAAAACCACACGATCTCCCAGAAATTCTCAATTCCGCAGCAATCACGACCAAAAAACCTCGACAATTCATTAAAAAGATAAATAACCTTCTCCCCATAAAACACAGGAACAAATAAAGGAAATAAAAAAAAAAAAATGTAAACCCTATCTAAACCTATCACCACAAAAATTAACTCCAAAAAAAGCCGAAATTAAGAGAAATTTCAAGAGAACAGGAAGAGGGAAATGCGACTTGGAAGGAAATGAGAGAAAATCAGATAAAGCGAGAAAACCGCCCCACGTGGACGCCAAAGAAATGACAAACACAAAATCTCACACACTCGCTTCCACGCTGCTAAAATACACACAAAATGGGAGAATTACCACCTTTTTCCACCAATTTTTTCGCCTATTCCCCCTCTTTATCACTCGTTCTCCCTCTCCCTCTTTCTCTCGCGAGCCAGGGGGAAAAAAAGAGAAAAAAACGCGAAAAACTCGCTTTAAAGCCTCAATCCACGGGCCAGGAGGCGAGGAGAGTGCGAATTCCCGCGAAAGAGAGGCGAAAGAGCAGGCCGAGAGCGAATGCGAGGGCGAAGGGAGGCGAGAAGAGGGAGAAAAAAGAGAAAAAAGAACAAGACGAAAATTCCCGTCCGACTCGAGGCTTCGGCGCAGCTCCACTCCCTCAAAACCCCCGCCAGCTCCTATTTTCCGCTCTTTCCGCACCGCCGCCGCTTCTCTTCGCCTCCCCCGCCACTCCCTCCTCGTCCAAGGGTAAATATCCGCATCCACACACAACACCCGAGCAGAGAAAGTCGGTTTTACTAACCTAAATTAACAAAAACATGTAGCTTTTGGAGGCGAGAGCGATGCCGGGTGGACGCGCGTGGGGCACACAAACATTGACTCACGCGTGCCAACCTCTCAGATAATTCGCTCCTCGATTTTCGCCGCGAGCTCCGTTTATCCGCGGTTTTCGACGCTCTGTCAATTCTGGGTGGATTCTCGGTTTTTCTTGGTGGTTTGTTGGACTCCCCGGTGGAAGGATTTTGTCTAAATATGGCTATCGATTTTGACGTGGCATCACTGCTCTTCATAGAAAATGGTGAAGGAGGGAGTTTCTAAATTTCCTTTTCGCGAGGGTCTTTTTTTCTCGGTAATGTCTCAAAGAGGGCTGGTTTTTGTTATTTCAGCTACGTTTTTTTCATTTTAATTTTCATTATTGTTTAATTTTATGTGGATTTAAGGTTTTACCGTTGATAATAAGTAACATTTAATCAAAAGGTTAGTAAAGTCTGGCATCTAAAACAACTGAAAGCTACTTCGTTAAACTCCGCTAACATGCATATAAAAATCGCCTTTGTGGAATTAATACGCAATGACGCCAACATCTGACCATCTCATAATTTCAAATATATGATTGCTTCAATATCTGTTCAATCTGATTTACTAAATTTGAATTAAAGTACGCTTCCCGTTATCCTCATGGTCCTTATCTCCAAGCCCAGCAGCGGCACACCGACTTTGTCCTTGTACTCTTCCATTTTAACATCCCTTTGTTTCTCGTTCTCCGATGTCCGGCCAGATTCCTTTACCCTTAACTCTGGCATTGAAACCTTTTCATTTACATCTAATATCTTAAAATCATTAAACAGTATTTTCCAAAGCCGAACCCACCAATTTTTAGGCGTTTATCGCATTTATCATCCCGATCCCTCATAGCATTAGTGCCGGATCCTAAAAGAAAGGAAGACATTTCTTGGCGTTGTTTTCAGTATCACAACAAATTAAACATATACGCATTTGCATATTTCATTAAATTTGATTTAATTCTAGTCTCATATACTACACACTTTGGCAAGGAAAAAAATATATATGGTAATTTTGCACGTATGCCCCCTCGTACTAACGACCAAAAGGCCGATTCGTTAGCATAGGAACAACGTGTTCAGTTCCTCCTCAAAGTCATTTATGCAATATATTTATCAAGCAATATTATTTCTAAAGTTTTTGGTGCAGAAGGAGGATGGCGGTGATGAAAAATGAATAACCAAACCCCTATGTATATATTACCTGAGTATTAGTAACAAAGACAAAAAAAATGGTAAAAAACGTTGCCACATTTATCATTTGTGTAAATTTACTGATGGGGAAAAAAGAGAGTTGGCAGAAAACTATTATCATCATCATCATAGCAGTTCTATTTGCTGATATCTGTTTCATCATTGATATTGATAACATCATATCATAATCGTTAATAAAATCATTGGAATAATTATGTTTACATGATCATCAGTGTTGCTATTGTCAGCTGTTAATATTATTATATGTTATAATTTTTGTTGTTATCTTCATTATGAACTTTCTTTTGATTATTATCATTTTTATCATTTTTATCACTATCATTTTATTGTTGTTATCATTCGTGTTATTTGTTAGTAATTTCATTCATTATTATCATTACCAATATTATCACCATCATTTATTTGTGGTCGTATCATTATCGTTATTATTATCATTATCATTATCGTTATTATTATCATTATTAGTATTGGTATCATTATTTATCAATACTTTATTAGTATGATTTCTATAAGATCATAATCTTTTATTATTTCTATCATTATGGCTATTATTATTATCTTGTTATTACCGTTGTATCCATTATTGTTATTGTCATTATTATTTTCATTATCATTATTATCATTATTATCATTATTATTATCCTCATCATCATTTATCATCGTTGCTTTTATCATTGTGATTATTATCATAATCGTTATTATTATTATTTTGATTATTATGCCCATTATTGATATTCTTCATTACTATTCCATACACTATTACTATTATTATTATTATTATTATTATTATTATTATTATACTTACTATTACTACTACTGCTGCTATTAATGATATTATTGTCAATGCCATTATCATTATTATCATTATCATTATTATTATTATTATCATCATTGTTACCATTTTTGTTATTGTTCTTATTGTCATGATTATCATAATCATTATTGTCATTGTCATTACTATTGTTATTATCATTATCATTATTATTAGTAATAGTATGTTTATCATTATTATCGTCACTATTATCCTTTTGTTATTATTATTATTATTATTATTATTATTATCATTATTATTATCTTTATTGTTATTATTATTTATTATTATTATTGTTATTATCATTATCATTATATTATTGTTATTATTCATCATTATTATATTATTATCAATTATCATTATCATTATTATTTATTATTATCATTATTATTACCATTATCATCATCATTCATCATCAGTTATTGTATTATTGCTATCATTATCATCATTGTCACTATCATTATGATTAATATTGTTGTTACCATTACCATTATTACTATTATCATCATTATTGTTATCATCACCATCATCATCAGCATCACTATCACCATCATCTTCGTTATCTTTACCATCACCACCATTTCCATCATCATCATCATCATTATTTATCATTATCATCATATCATTATCATTACTACTGTCATTATCATTATCACTATTGTTATTGTTATCATCACTACCATTATCATTATTATTACTATTACTATTATCAACACGATTCATCCATCCTACCATCACATATCATCACCACCATAACCCACCACCAATGATCAATCCACCATCCATCACCATCATCATCATCACATATCATCACCATCACCATCTCTTCATCGCCCACCACATTATTCATCATCGGACCCATCAATCACCATAACCACCATATCACCATCATCCGCATTCTCACCATAACCACCCATGATCATCATCATCACCACCTCATAACCACCATCATTTGATCCTACTATACCACCATAACCACCATCATCGCACCATCATCCCACATCCACACCACCATCACCATCCAGATCACACAATTAGTACCATTCAAAAAATACGGTTACCTAAAGGGGAACCGGGCACAAAATAAATTCAAATAAAAGAAAATATTTAGTTTAACGCATTGATAATGTACATTTTTTGAAAATCAAAATAATAAAAATATAATAATAAAATCAAAATAGTAACAATATTCTCCTTTCTTTTCTGTTCGAATTAGCAGGAGAAAGAAAAGAAAATATACAGTTTAACGCATTGATAATGTACATTTTTTTTTAAATCAAAATAGTAACAATATTCTCCTTTCTTTTGTGTTTGAAGTTAGCAGGAGAAATATTTTTATCTCTGCGAATTATTGATATAATAACAAGGCCTTATGCAGTTTAGTTTGAATTTATTTAAAGATGTTTTTTTCTACTTGTTATTGCTATTATTACTGTTATTTTATTAATCTATTAATTAATTTATTTGAAGATGTTTTTTTCTACTTGCTATTACTATTATTATTGTTATTCTTATCATTACTGTTTACGTCATTATTAACCTGTTACGATTGTTATTATCATAATTATCGTTAATACTATTATCATAGTTCTGATTATTGCCATCATTATCAGTATCTGTATAATCATTTCATTGTTATTGTCATTATCATTATTATTTTTTATCTTTATCGTCCTTATCATTTTTATGTAACTAGGATAATTTTTCTCTACAACTTGTACTATTTTCGTTACTATCATTACTAAAACTGCCATTACTAAAATTATGAGTCATTATCATCATTTATCGCTAATTATATTGTCATCATTATCATAAGTAATTGCATTTCTATTAGTAATTATCGTCATTGTATCGTACTTAAAATAATTACATTAATGTTATAGCTATTATTGTAATTAATGTAATCATATTGCTATAATTACCGTTTTTATTTATATTATCATTATTATCATTTCATTATTTTCGTTATTTTTCTTGTATATATTGCTATCATTCCCGGTTTTTTATCATTATCAGCACCATGAATATCTTATCATCATATTAGTACATCATCGTGGTTGTAGTTTTGTTCTTGTTATGTTTATGGTTACCTAATAGTTGTTATTTTTATTGTTGTTGTTGATATATAGTCTTTCTGTCGAACTTGGCTGTATGAACAAAATTACTGTTATCAGTATTTGTAATATGATCGGACACTATACACACACGTACACACACAGACATACAGAGACACACACACACGCACACGCACAAACACGCCACGCAGGCACGCACACACACACACACACACACACACACACACATGCACATACATACACATACACACACATACACACACACACAACACACACACACACCCACACACACACACAACACACATACACACACACACACACACACACACAACACACACACACGCACACGCACCACACGCAGCACGCACACGCAATACACACACACACACACACACAAACACACACACACACACACACACACACACACACACACACACACATATATGTTTGTATGTATATATATAGTATTATATATATGGTATATATTATTTATATATATATATATATATATAATATATATATATATATGAATATTATATAATATATAATATTATATATATATATATATTATATATATATTATATATTTATATATATATATATATTGTGGAAAGATATGAATGAGAACGAATATCTTCCAATACAAGAGATGTATTAACCGTTTTCGATTTATCTTGTATTTCTGACGATATAATCGAAACCGGTTAATACA